CTCCCCCAGCCCTACACCCCTGGACCTTCCACAGTGCAGAGGATCCCTGGGCTTGAAGTCCTGCGGGGGACGGATCCTGCTCCGTGGCTTTCCCTGCATGGACACTGCCGGGAGGGCCAGCGTGCTTGGCCTGCCCTCGACACGGTGCCTAGTCCCCAAAGAGCAGGGGAACCCCACTGCCAAGGTGTCAGGGGCCAAGGATGGGCAGGGAGGGCACTGTCCTTCTGTGTTGCTGGTGGCTGGGTTTAGATGGTTGAAAAGTCCTTTTTGCCAACCAGTCTCTGCCCCTGCACCCCTGCCCTCACCTGCTCCCGTCAGGTAGGATGGGCAGAGCCAGAGACCCCCCGGGATCCTGGGATTCCTGGGGCCCTGCCAGCCCTGAGGGCTGTTGGATGGGGTGAGCGTGCAGGGCTGCCGCTGTGCATGAGAGTGGGAGCTGGTGTGCAGCTGCGTGTGAGAGCCCGTGTATGGGGAGTGTGCAAAGTGTGTGTGCAAGGTGCCTTACACTGTGTAGTGTGTCTGTATGTGTGTGCAGGGAAGGCACCGTATAGACGCAGAAGGAAGGTGCTGCATGTGCTCTGTGTGTGCGTGTAAGGGGTATTCAGTGCACATGAGGTGCTATAGGCTCTCTGTGCCTGAGGTACCATAAGCAGTATGTCTGTATGGGGCTTGCTGTATAGATAGTGCCGCTGAGAGCGCATGGGGGATGCTACGTGCTCGATGTGTGCGTGCAACGTGCGGGGGGTATGTGTGCACGCATGGTGTGTGTGTGCAAAGTGCGGTGCGTTTGGGGACGGTGCCACGTGGAGGGTGCATGTGGGTGCTCCAGGTACAGCAGGCCGAGTGTGTGTGCACAGTGTGTGGGTGCTGAGCACTGCACGAGTGGGTTTCCCCACTCCTGTGCCTACCACTGGCCATTGTGCTGTCCCCAGGGTCCTGTCCCCCTGTCCCCATATCCCCGGGGTCCTGTCCCCGCTGAACTTCTGACCTGGGGACAGAGGAGGTGAAGCGTCTGGGTGACCCCAGCCCCCTGCCTGTGTTGGGCCGGGGGCCCTGCTGCCCACTTCAAAGGCGGTGGGCAGATCCCCCTTGGGGCCAGCCCAAATTGACAAGGGCTTTGCTTTGTCATGGAGATGGTGGCCGGCTCCTTTGGCAGCGAGGTGAGGTGCAGGTCCCTTTGTCTTGCCCTGCCCACACCCTTTCATCTTCCCCTCCAGCCTGGACCCGTCCTGCCCGCATCAGGACCCTCTGCCTGCTGGGCTTGCCTGGACCCGCCACCCCCCTCCCTCTCCTGTGCTGGCCATGAGCTCTGCAGAGCACTGCTGGGGCCAAACTCACTACAGGAATGGCTCTGGGCATCTCTCAGGGGCGAGTTTGCTTTTGGTTACTGCTGCCTCATACCCCCAGGATTGGGGCCAGGGCTCCTTGTTTGCAAAGTGTCTCCAATTTTAGGCTTCTTTCTAGCTCCCCGCTGGCCAAGCCCAATGGGGAGACCCTTGTGCAAGGGGCTCATGCAGAGGTACCTGGGGTCTTCCAGCATGGAACTTAGCTCCTCATGTTCGCTGGATCCACGTGGTGGGGATGGGACTGTCCCAGTGGGACCAGTATCTGCAGTGGAGCAGGCAGAACATCCCAATAAATGGAGAAAAACAGCCCCGGTCTGGAAAGAGGAGAGGAGAAGCAGACTGGTATTTCCTGGCCCATTTTAAGCACAGAATATACCTATTTAGGAAAAACGCCTTCCCCCATACCAGTGATTGAGCCCAACAGGCTTGCAGAGGCTGAAGGCTTCCCTCTGCCCGGGGGGGAATTGGGGGGTGATCCTGCAGCCTCCCCATGCAGCTGGGACCCCATCGCTTCTGCAGGTTTTGTAGGTCCGAACATCTCAATTTCTTCTGAGGAGAGAGGTGGGAAAGAAAATGAATGAGGGGAGAAAGACATCAGCACATCTCTCCTCTGGATCAAGGGCCCAGTTTTACACCCAGCAGTGGGGCTGAGATAAAACAGGGGCTTGAAAGTGCCTCTGATTGAGTCAAACGATAATTGAGTTGATTGAATTATGGAAAAATATCATTAGTTGCTTAGTTTGTATCTCTTAGATTAAATATATACAAAGGGACAAATAAATGAGCCTTGTTCCCCTTGCATGCTGAGAAGGAGCTGCCCCAGCCCAACCACAGCGATGCGGGGATGGGTGCTGGGGTGAAAGCCCCTTTCTTGTGGTGTTTCCTCAGGATGGATGACCAGCAAGGTCCCTTTTTAAGGCACTTGCAGATTGCACAAGGACCTGTCCTTGTGTCTCTGCTGGGTCCAAGCCCAGCGCTGCTGGTGCCAAGCGGCTGCAGGATTCGGCCACGGTGGGACCATGTGCTGGGAGACAGTGGGATGCAGCCTGTGTTTTCCAGGGCTGCCCTTTAAATAAAAAAAAAGAGCCTTTCTCCATTAAGTTTGAAAGAGAGCAGGGCAGAGATGGGTTTGACATAGATAAGGGTGAAATTCTTAGATGAATCGTTTTATTGAAATCAATAAACTGGACTTTAATCAGTCTGGATTGATTAACTACCCATCTCACCGCAGTGGGAATAGGAAATGAATACGTGGACTTTTTTGCTATAAATATCAACAGTTTCATTGCCAGTGCTATAAATCATATTACTTCAGAGGGTTGTAAATTGAGGTTCCCTCTCTGTCTCGTCTTATATAAACAGCTCTTGGCTGTGGTTTGAAAGCTTTTGGGAAAGAGCTGTGTGGTGGTAAAAGAAAATGTTACAGAGGGAATACAAGTGTGTTGAGGGCTTCTGCAACTGCAATCGAGAGCCTGAGAAAAATCAGTGAGAAATCTCCCAGTGACTCACCGCAGAGTCAGGCTTTACAGAGGGATGATTTTATATACCTGTTGCTAAATACTTGCGTGCTTCACCCGGCTGAGCCAAGATAACCCTGCAGCAGAAGGAATTGCGATGCCAGAGGGGTCAGTCACTGGAAATCGGGAGTTAAAGGGCACCAAGCTGGAAGATATCCCAAGGCCTCTTCTCTCTCTAATGCCACCTCTTTTTCTGCTCATAAAATCTTCACAACCAGCGACCAGCGTGGCAGAGCCTCATGCTTCCTCCTTATTCACAATTATTTGCAAACTTCCCTGTGAATTGCACCCCGGCTCTATAAAAAGCTCAGGAAAGTGGCTGGAAACGGTGGCTGGCTGAAATTCACCCTCTGCTCGTTAGTTATGCAAATCCTCAGATACTGCCTCAGGTCTGGCTTTTAGGTCACTAATCAAGCCGAGGCCACAGTGCTAAATATTGCAAGTGAAAGTGCGATCGGGGCATCTCTTGGGGAGGCAAATGTGCTTGGGGCTTTGCATGGTATCAGTGCCTGTGGTGCCTAGCCAGGTTTTGGGTGATGGAGAGCTAGTGATGCTCCGAGCACGGGCAAGTGGCGATTTGCTGGGTGTGCAGTTTCCCATCTCAGTTTTCTCTGTTTCCAGCTCAGTTTTCTGGTTCTATTTGTTGCCCTAGTGAGGTCCATGAAAGCTGGAGGAAAGAGTAAAAACCCCAATAATGAGGCAGAAACATTTTCCTTGGACAGGGGGGATTCATGCTGTGCATGATACATTTTAGGGTGATGGTGGTGGCTGGAGGACAGTGCGTTTCCGCGGTCAGTCCCTGAACAGGGGGTCCCCTCTTTAGGACGTGGTCACTCCCTGTGAGACCCTTTGCTCCCTTGGGTCACTCGGTGTCTGCGTGCATTGGGCCCCATCGGTCTTCTCCCCTTGAATTATTAACCCACAACCTGTTCCTGGCCCCAGCTGGGATTTGTTGACTGCTTAGCCTGCTGGCCAAGGTACAGGCCTTTCAAACTTTCCTAGAATTGACTTTCCTTGAACAAAAAGGGCTTCCCTGGAGCACTGGAGATACTACGTGACGGGCTTTGCTGGCTAATACCCCGGGATTAGCTAAGGGACACTTTAAACCTCTGGTCAATGACAGATGTTTCCTACAGGGGACCCTTCAAGGACGCCCACTCCAGTGCTGTTAGCTTTGCGATCACCCGGATAAGGGGCCGGATCCTTCCCCCTGCAGTGCCCCATGGTAAGGATGGGCTGAGCCCTATGGGGCTGCGAAGGGGGAGAGGAGTCGAGGTGCCCAAGCAGGACCACCACTGCCTTGCTGTCCTCCTCCTCCTGCTGCAGCCGGACCAAATCCAGCCAGGTGGCAGATCTGGATGAGCTGGATTGGGGCTCGGGGCTGGCGCAAAAGCGATGCTCTGAAATGGGCTGTTTCTAGCCCACGTGCCATCCCGGCACTCCTCACCCTCCCACGCTGATGTGGTCTTTGACCCGGCGCGGGAGCCTGGCTGGCGGTGCTTGGCTCCGTGCTCATGAAACCATGGGAGCAACTGAAGGAATCTGCCAGTTGCCAAAATAAAGGGTTGAATCACTGCAGGGCTGGGAAAGGCTTGCCCCAACGCCCAGCCTCAGGCTGCTGCCCTTGGGGTTGAAGAATCTCCTGTCGTGTTGCTCCATGTCCAAGAATGTGGGGTTGTGATGGGGAACCGCCAGCTCACTGCAACCACCAGCAACCTGCTCCTCATCCCCCTGGGGTCTGCACCTCCTGGGAGGAAGATGAGGCTTGCAGGAGCAGTGCCTTTGCCCATGTGTGTGGCGTGGGTGCAGACCTGGCACCGTCCTGCTGTGCCAGCAGCACGGAGCCCAGCTGGGACCAGCTTGTGCTCCTGCGGACCAGTCTGCGCTCTCCAAATCTAGCTCTTTGCCCAGGTGTTTCTTGCCCTTCCCAGCAGCCGGGCTGCCCTCCGTGGCTGTGCCATGCACCGAGCCCTGATCTTTGCCTCCTGGCTCTGCCAGTCCCGTAACCTCCAGGCATGCAACCCCCAGCCACATGATTTCACTTATAGAAAAGCTTTTTTGGAAGTGCTGAGCTTGATCCTCTGTGTGCAGGAGACTAGAAAGCCATCAGGACAAGTGCTGCCGTTTTGTAAGTGAAACATTTCCAGTGTATGACGTACCAAGCTGAATCAGGTTTTATTGCTAGTGGGTGCCCATGGGAACATTGCTGTTTGCTCTGAAGTCTTTGGCACCAGGAGGAAATCCCCAGGTTGGGTCAATGTCAGGTGAACAGCCCTGCAAAGAGCTACCCTGGGGGTAGGAGGGGCACTGGGCCCCTCAGAAGGGCCCCCAGTGCCCTTGGGCGCAGATGAGTCCTGCCTTCAACCCTGATGGCTGAAATGCCCATTTCCCCAGCCTGGAGATGAGCTGGGTGACTCTTGGCAGGGTCCATCGGGTGAAGATTCATCCAGCATCCCCTCCCTCTGCAGTACAGAAACTTTAAATATGTAGGGGGGGGTGTGGTGTGGTTCCTCTCACCCAATTTTTGACACCCAGCAGTTGTCTAAATCCAACACCCTTGGGCAGAGGAATGATCTCAGGCAGGGATCTGGGGAAGGATTGCCCTCCGGAGGGGTTTGTTTCCCAGGGGCGGTGATGAAGCAAGCCACATGGCTCCGGTCCTTCGCTCTGTCGGTCGTCCCATCCATCACCCCTCTGTTTCCTGCAGCAGAGGAAAAATAGCTGATGATGTTGAAGCATGCACGGGAAGGGGAAGGCTTGTGAAAACCCTGACCTGCTGGTTCCCAGCACTCGGGGAGGGTGGGGGTCTCGGGTTTATCCCCGCTCCCAGGTCACAGAGGAGCGTGGGTGTTTTGAGGAGGCTGTTGGAGCTGGAGGGGGAAAGGAGGGGAGCAAGTGAGTGTGAAGCAGAGGGAGGGCAGAGGGAGGGCTCAGCCCCCGCTGCTGTTGGTGCAGACTTTGGGGTTCCCATTTCCAGTCAGTTTAGGGACAGAGAAATAAGCTGGGCTGTCTGTCCTGAGCATCAGCATCACTGCTGCGCAGCACGGCTGCCGTCACCGCTGCTCGGCAGAGGGAGCATGGACCCCTTGGCGCAGAGGCAGCTGGAGCACATCTGGCTGCCAGATGAGGGTGGCTTCAGCCAGCCTGGAGGCTCCTGAGCTTTAGGAGCTGACCTGAGCCCTCTCCTGGGCCTGGGGTCTCTCTCATGGGGCGTTGCTCTGCTGCCTGTCCCCACTTTTGTGGGGGAAGAAGATTTCCCCCCATGGAGCTGCAGAAGGACTGAGGGTTAAGCTGTCCAGGGAGTCCCACCAGCGATCAGAACTCGTGGCTTTGACCTTGGGACTCCACTCTGGTTTGGAGCTGCTTCTGTGCCTCAGTTTCTCCATCCATAGCATCGCCTAAGCTATGCCAGGGGTGGGGGGGAGTTCTCCCTGATGCTTTCCCTGGGGAGGAATGGCAAATCCTGATAGAGCACTGATTCTTCTGGGATGGGAGGAATTTATCCTTTTTGCAAGTAGAAGTTGCTCATTCAAAATGAAGCAGCTTTATCATGGAGATGAAGCACCCACTCAAGGGGGACAGAGTGTCTTGCTGCACTTTAACTCCAGTGCAGGCAAGTTCTTTCCCTGGTGCTCGCTGGTGATGGGACTTTCACATCTGATGTTTTTCACCATTAAAATATTGTAGTGCCATCAGATAGTGTGGAACCGGGCACCCGGTACAGACAGACCAGGCTGTACAGACGGACCCAGTGCATGGCCAGAGCATTGCCAGGAAGGTGAGACCACGCAGGGCTGCTCTGGGACCACATTGCCCAGACTTTTCATGCCAGTCATGCGAGGAGCTGCTGGGCAGTGGAGCCTGCAGAGCCAGCGAGCAGCCGTGGGGCCGCCCGGCCTGGCAGCAACACCTCTTGTCCCCCATGCCAGCACCTCCTCTGCAAAGCACCGTGCAACGTGCCCGTGTCCCCAGGCCTCGGGGACATCTGCGGTGGGGCACGACAGCTTGAACCGCTGCCGGCTCTCATCTCGGTGGCTCCGGTGAGCGGGTTAAACCTGCCTTGCCCCGTCTGCCGTGAGGGGAGCCCTGATGGCTGCATAGCGGTTTCCCACAGAGCCAAGGTTTGCAGCCGCTGCAATTTTGAGCTGCTTTGATCTGTGAAATAGAGACCTTTAGAAAAGCGTGCAGGTTTGTGCTCCTCGCTGCTGGCAGCCGTGCTGCTCCTGCCGTGGCTGGGGGGGCAGTGTCCCACGGATGGGGATCCTCCGTTTGGAGCTGGCCTGATCCCCTCTTAGCCATGTTGGGCACGCTGGGCTGGCTACATCACTCTATAGGACTGGGGAAAAGACAAGTTCCAAATAACACACAGCAACTCTTGCTCCTTTGCTGTTTTCCACCCCCTGCCAGGGTACCACTGCCACCTCGCAGTCTTTTTACTCCGTGGTTTGAACCAGCCCCTTCCCAGCTGTTCTTAGAGCTGCTCAACACCAGCCTCAAAACACCACATATTGTTTATCTGTTAGGGTGTTTGGGGCATAGTTTCTTATTGAAAGCCATCCTTTGGGCAGGACAGGGCTGGAGAGAGG